AATCTTTCTATACATGTAGGATGATATGAAATCGCCCCTGTGTATTATGAAGTGTGTTTTGTCCAAGCAAAACAAACACTTTTAAGCGTCGATCCCCTCAAAGGAGGATACCGGCTCTTCTCGAGGGTATCTCAAAGGATACAAACGAGGATCTGCAAGCAAATACAAGTACATATATATGGAACTGATGAAATACAATATTTAAATTCGTGAAAGGGTGAAAGAGATATACCTCCACGTGAGATCACAGCAGGGCCCGCCTCTTCAGGGCTCTGAACAGTCGGACGGCCTCGAGTCCCTCGAGCTCTACGCGGCGACATGATGAGTATGTGATCTACATTGAAACCCAAGAGGAAGTTAGGATTTTGAACAAGAAATTGAACAAAATATCACAAAATCTCGTTGAGATAGTGCATGCAAACTGGAAGTCAAAGAAGATCAAGATTTGAAAGAAAAGAGGCGGACAAACCTTCAGAAATCCGAATGGAATCTCCCTAAACGAAGCCCCCACACAAATCAGAAGCAAAGAAGGCAAAAGGAAACCGAAAACTTGCAGGAAAAAGTCGGAAAATTGTCGGAGAATCGCCAGAAATTGCCCCAAAAGTCGACGTGAAAAACCCTAAAAAAGCCCAAGTCCGAATTATATACTCTCTGTCTCGCTGAGCGAGACATCAAACTCTGTCTCGCTGAGCGAGACAACAAAATCTATCTCGCTGAGCGAGACAGCATTCTCTATCTCGCAGTGCGAGACATCATTCTCTGTCTTGCAGTGCGAGACAACAAACACTGTGTCGCACAAATATGATACAGAGAGATACTCCAATGGGTACACGAGTCTAAACTGTATTCCTATTCTCAACAGGAAGTTTCTGGAGAATATTAATCTGAATATTCTTAAGGATAACCTGATGAGCTCTCAATGGATATATCAATTCAGTAATAAAAGCTGAACCCACAAGAACAGGTAGCGATAAACGCGACGCCGGGAGAACGTTAGCTATTCTACGAAGAACTGGATAGACTAACAGCAGAAGAGGTTAAACATTGAAGCCATTTACAAGTCCTTCCACACGATCTACTCAGCCAAGCATTGAAGGGATCGTAAGTAAAATCTATCTTATCCAAAGTATCCTGGACTCTTCTATAAAAGAATGCGTCTGGAATACTTTGGAGGGGGTATCTGTAGGCATCAAAAAATGCTAATAGATATCCAAACATAGGAAAAACCACTTAAAACTGACAGATATGAACTGTCTCGCCAGCGAGACAGACTTTGATGTCTCGCCAGCGAGACAGTATTTGCTGTCTCGCCAGCGAGACAGGACTTTGCTGTCTCGCCAGCGAGACAGACTTTACTGTCTCGCCAGCGAGACAGCTTTGAAATGGTCAAAAAACCACCTTTGTAACTGCCCTACACGTGTCCATTAACTGCCAAGGGACGTGGGAAACATCGTGGGTGAAAATCACATGAATAACTACCAAAATAACGGAGTTTGAAACGTGGGAAGGCAGTTAAAATGAAAACTGCCTGCGGTTACTGTTTCCGAGATAGTATTTACTGTCTCGCGGTCCGAGACAGCAAACACTGTCTCGCCCAGCGAGACAGCAAACACTGTCTCGCCCAGCGAAAACACTGTCTCGCCAGTCTAATTTCGTCGTTTGTTGAGTTTTTTCAGTTATGAACTCAGAGGCTATAAATACCCCCCTAGGGTCATTTCTGACGAGGATCGAGCATATTTTCGAGCAATCCAGAGCAGAGAGAGCAGATTTGAGTTTTTGTACAACTCCTTGAAATTAAGCTTTGACTTGATTTTAAGAAGAACGACTATCTTACTTCGATAAGATATCGTTTCAATTTCTCACTTCGATAAACGAAGTCAGAATCAGTAAACCCCCTCTTCACGATCTGTGATTCGGCGGTCCACGAACCAAAGCGTTCCCAGCACAGGCAAAGTCCCACAAAAACAAGAATCGATAAACGATTTTTGTGTTATTTTCCACGAGAGTTGTAATTTGCTTATTTTTGTTGTAATTCGCTGTAAACAAATTAAGTTTCAATGGAATCTACAATGAAAACAACTTTCGACGAAAACACCCCCACACCAATATCAGTACGGAGGACTACTCACAGCAATGCGAAAAATCCTCCCGATAGATATGGTTAGGACTACTCACAGCAATGCGAAAAATCCTCCCGATAGATATGGTTAGGATCTTGCCCAGTTTGTATCAAGTTCAAAACATGAAAGGTTGATATACGTGAAATTAGATGTTTTGACATAAACACAACTTTGAAATATTTTCAAACGTTCTTATAGACTTAATAAAAGATGTATATCATGATTGTTAAGTCCATAAACAAGAATACAATATTTTTTCAAAATTGCATTTTCTATGTAATATATTCTTAAACAAAATAGAGTATGAAACATATGATTATATATATATGAATGTAAATTTGTTTTATGTCTATATAGTTAAACCAAAATACAATAATAAATATGTAGTCTCATATTTATAAGCATGAAAACTTAAAACTATGTATGTATATATATATATCTAACTATATATATATACATAGAAACATATATGTATATGTATGACTACATATACATAGAAACCAAAAACTAAAATATGTATATATATATATATATATATATATACACACACACACACACACACACACACACACACACACACACACACATACATACATATATGTATATATATATATATATACACATACATACATATATATAGAACAAAAAACTAATATATATATATATATATATATAGTATATATATATATTATATATAATATAATAATATATATATATATATATATATATATATATTATATATATATATATTATATATATATAATATATATATATATATATCATATATATATATATAATAATAAGTATGTTATATATATATATCATAGGGTTTTCTTTCGATGGCAAAATTTTTTCGCACAGCAATGTGCGAAATGAGCGACCAGCCATTGGATTCTCGTTCTGACTCTCCCCCAAAACGAAGTGGTGGATTTCTCGTTCCATCTAAACGAGGCCAGACTTCTTCGTTCCTCCTAAACTCCCTTCTTCGTATCTAACTCCCCATCCAGACCTTCTACTTGGCCCCAAACGGCAGAACGCCCGACTCCCTCTTCTCTCTCTGTGTCGTGACGCTCTATCACCGGCCGCCTCCAAAGCCGCGAAACTCTCTCTCTGCTCGTCTCATCCGTCTCTCTCTCACTCTCTCCTCCTCATCTGGCGAGATCGTCTCATTTCAATCTTCTCAGATCCTGCTCTCTCTCTCACACCCCCGCAGCCACCTCTAACTCGAGACCCCAAGCACCGCCGCCCCAAATCCGACTCCCTCTCAGATCGGCCATCTCTAAGCTCGTGACCCCCAAGCATCACCGTCCCAAACCCGACTCCCTCTCAGATCGGTCATATCCCCTCTTTCAGATCGGCCATCTCCGAGCTTGTGACCCCAAGCACCGCCACGCCCAGATCGAGGTCCTCTCTAAACTTTTTGCTTGTTTGATTTTAATCAAAAGTGCTTGTTGGATTTTTGACTGTCCTCTTGTTGGATTTTTGACGCTTGATTCTTGTTGAATTTTTGATGTGAGATACGAGGCTATCCTAATTTGACGCTTGATGCTTGTTGCATTTTTGACGCTTGATGCTTGTTGGATTTTTGACTGTCCTCTTGTTGGATTTTTTATGCTTGATGCTTGTTGGATTTTTGTTGTAAGATATGAGGCTATCCTAATTTCAATGCAACAAACCATAAAGAAAACAAGTAAGTTGCTGGTCATTGGTGAGAGTATACTGGATTTTTTTTAATTTAATAAAAAGTTTCCAGTCCAAGTTGACCAACCATCCTTGTCTATAACAGATTTTTGACTGTCCTCTTAAGATGAATTTTTTTTAATCTAACAGCTTTATTTTTGTGCACAGTGGTCTTTGATACCATTCTTGTTTCTAAACATAAATGTATTTTTTGTGCACAGTGCAAGTTAACTGTACTCTTATTTATATCATTCCAATGGAAACTGAAGATGGAGCAAATCACAGATGAAGTTCTCACTATTGCGTGAAGTTTGATCAAGGTTGGCGGAGCAAATCATAGCACTATTGGTGAGAAGGGGTTGAAGTCGTTATGTATCTGTGTATGTTGGGGCTTTTTGAGGTGTGGTTGAATTTTGGGGTTGAGTTTTTGTATCTTTTGTGTTGGTACATTGATATCTCCCTCTGTGTTAATTGTCCAGAATGTTATAATGTCATATGTCGATTGTCTCAGTATTAAACAGGACAAGTGATACTATTATTTCCAGTCTATGTTTGTAATGAAGCTCTCAACGTTGGAATCCAGTCAGTTGGCTCTGATATTGCATCAGTCTGTTTCTTCTATGTATAATCAACTATGCTTGTCTTTTCTTTAATGTAAATGTCGGGTTGTGTTGATGGCTTGGGAATTGTTGTACAGAGAGAACCGCAATGCAGCAATTATGAATTCATTGTTCTGTTACTTGACATTATGAACACTGCTCAGGTTTGTATATATTAGATGAGCCTCTTGCCTTGAACATTGTTCTGTTACTTGGCATTATGAATTCATTATGCATCGATCAGAATCTACACAAGTTTTGTATTGAACTTTAAGTAATCTAAAATTGCTTGTTATTATGAATTCATTATTCATGATTTGTCGATGATGGTGTTATTATGTGCAGTGCCTCCTTTCTTAAGATATGGCAAGTACTGTGGTATTTTGTGCAGTGGATGCCAAATCTTTTGCAATACATATATAAGTAAAACAACATGCCGCTGCACTAACTTTTCCAATTAGTTCAATGAAGTAAAAATGAGCCAAAGTACACTACAAGAAATCTGGTATTTAACGACCAAAATTAGTGAAGGGACCAGTTGACCGTCATTAATGTGTGTAAAATAACGACGGTTTTAAAGCCCTTCATCGAGTTACCCCGCCCAGCGCCAGCGTTCCTGCCTCTGCCCGCGATCCTGATGAGGAGAGCGGGGGTTCGATGGGATCAGATTCATCTGAAGAGGAGGAAGAAGAGGGAGAATCAGCAGATGAATCTTCGTCCTCTGACGATCACGATGACGATTCTGAGATTGATGATGAAATGGTCGAAGATTATCTCGAAGGGATTGGTGGGAGCAGCGAGATACTGAAATCGGGATGGTTAGCAAAAAAGAAGAATCTTGAAGAGTAGTTTCTGGAATCTGAGAGCAGTAGCGATGATGATGGTGGTGGTGATGATAAGTTAGGGGCAGTTAAATGATGAATGTTTCACAGGAGTATGGAATGCTGAAGAAGAAGAAGATTAATTTTAGGAAGGGGAAGGGTTAGATCAGTTCGCCAATGGTGGATTTTGGATTGTCGGCCGCAATGGATGATTTGATGTTTGAGAAGGATCTGAGAAATTTTTCAGGGAGGAGGAAGAAGAAGAAGGATGTTTCTCAGCTATCCAGATTGTGGCCTCATGAGGGGAGCATTACAGTGCTTCAGGTATATAGTGTATCTTTTATGTTGATTTTGATAACTATCAGAAAAGTAAATTGATCACTGAAAATAAAACTTGTGGTATGGGTAGGACATAATCCTTGATTTGAATGAAGTATTAAGCAAAGCTTTTCTCATTCACACCCGTATTTTACCCCCTGTAGATTCAGTTTTGTTCCTTATAGATAATAGAAGATGAGATGATAGGTTTTGAATGTACATGTATCTTTAAGCACCAACAAAATAATGTTATTAGTAATTTTACAAGGATCCATGCACTATATATTTTCATCTATAAATATCATTTTTCTTTTTGCACATCCAGTGAGAGGACTATATCTTTATGGAGGAGTCGGGACCGGAAAGACGATGCATTTAGATTTATTTTATGATCAGTTGTAAGTGATTGTGATTGGTTTATTTATCTCTCATGTGTTTATAGTATTCTTCTTTCACGGGATACTAATCATTCTTTTCTTTTTTAGTTTCCAATTCTTGTTTGTATAATTGCTCAATATGTCTAGAAGGGAACATTTGTGATATAAGTGCTTTCAGACATCCGACTTAAATTAAGTTACATTACTCTCGGTAATATGTCAGCCAGTAACTTCTTCTCCTTTCAATTTGTTTGAGAGGAGCTGGTTTGCAACCGATGATGTATCTTTGAGGCAGTAGTGCGAGTTCAGTTTCCTGATTAATTTCAAACTCAGGTCTATTGGAGGCATATTTCTCAATTCACATTTGATATTTTTTTGTGGTACTTTTTAGTCATAGTTTTCTTTTTAAAATACCATTTAACTACATTTAATATCTTTAATTGTTTTGATTGCTGCATTAGTTGATACACACTAGTGATGATTGGTGTTATTTGATACCCTCATTCAAAGTACCCAAATCAAACAGAGGTTTTGTAGGACATGTATTTGAGTCACATGGGCAGGTTTCATTCGGGTTTATAGTTCCATATGGTTAATGGTATAAGACCAAATAGTGGCCCTCATCACTAGCAGCCTAATCAATATATTAGGACATCTGGATGGACATGTTTATAGTTCCATATGGTTCACAGTCTGGTTTTTCTCCTTTTCGTTCTAAGAGTTATCAGTCCTAGATTTATTGTGAGGATTTGTGCACTGTAAACTATAATGAGCCATGCACATATATATGAACCTCACACGTGTTCTTCTATTTTATCACTACATTTGGACTCTTACATTTCATGGAATATATTACTTATTATTCCTTGTACATGCCATCTAACTGGAGGAAGAAAAGAATACATTTCCATGATTTTATGTTGAATATCCACAGTCGTTTATAGATATTAATGCTTTGTACTATTAATCTTTTACTGTCTAGGATGAATTATGTTAACTCCCCCACTTCTTAGTTGATAATGAAACATGTATGCACTCCTCTTGTTGCTGTACTATAATTGATTTTTTTTTTTGTATGAGTGCAGATGCATAAAGGGGTTGCAAATCCACTTGAAGTTGTTGCAGGGGAAATATCAGATGAGTCTATTCTTTTATGTCTCGACGAATTCATGGTATGTTAGAAATTCAGGGGTAGGTCATTATGTCACTTTGTTATATTCTAGTTCTCCACTATTTCAATGTGGTTCTTCTTAGTAGTAATATGAAATTTTTAATTATAGGTGAATGATGTTGCTGATGCTTTGATATTAAATTGTCGCTTTGGACATCTTTTCAGCGAAGGAGTTGTATGTACTAAACTTTGCCTTCTAATCCTCTTAAATTGGTTCTTTGTGCGCATAGTTTATTATGTCTTATTCTTTAACTGGGAGATTTTCATCTGAGATGACTACTTTTTATTCAGGTTCTGGTCTCCACTTCAAATCGTGCACCAGATAACCTTTATGAAGGTGGTCTACAGAGGGATCTATTTTTACAATTTATTGCAACCCTAAAGGTACTTACGAATTAAATATAGAATGAGGAATCTGTCATTTTCATACACAACACGACACATTTGTTTAAATGGAACCGATCAATGCAGGACAGGTGTATTGCTCATGCAATTGGTTCTTCCACTGATTACCGGAAAATGACTAATGTAAGTTTTTAAATGTTATTATATGAAGCTCCCAAAAATACTTTAAGCAACGTATGTTTATTACTCTCTGCAGGCTGAACAAGGTTTCTATCTTATTGGACATAAGTACTCTGGATTTCTTAAACAGAAGTTTCAGCAGATAATTGGGGAAGGAACTCCTTTTCCACAAGTTGTGGAAGTTGTTATGGGAAGACAACTGCAGGTTTCTAATCTTTGATGTATAACTTTCATCTGTTAACAAAGTCTGACTTACATTTAGTAAAGAAAAATTTATTAATTGATATTTTCTATTCTTCAGGTTCCGTTAGGGGCTAATGGATGTGCATATTTTCCCTTTGAGGAACTATGTGACAGACCTTTGTTGGCAGCAGATTATTTTGGTTTGTTTAGTAAGTCATTCATCTGACTTGTGATTGAACTTTTAAATTTCACTATAATGCTAATGAATATATAACTGCAAAGCTTTCTTTTCTTTTCTTCTATTCCTTGTGAACAATTCTAATTAGATATTCTTGTTTCTAATTAGATATTGATATTTCTTAATTATGTGATTTTTTTTTAATTTTTCAGGCTATCCATGCAAGATTAGGAGAGGGTGTAGCTCGAGTCTTTTTTTGACGATGATTAGAGATGAAATAATGTGTCTTTCCCAGACTTTTATTTTAATTTGTTTAGATAGTTTCACGTATTTTTCTTTGGAACAATTGAGATATAAACTCTTGTTATTAGTATTGAACATTTGAGGATGGTTAAATTTTATTTATTGATGTTATTAATGAATAGAGTTTTTGTTTTCCCTTTTATTTGTTATTGAGTATTTTTAATATATTTGTGTTGTGAATCTTAGTGTCATGTTGAGAATAATATGATAGTTGCATACGAATGGAAAGATTGCCATTAATGTATATTAAAAATTTGTAGTCTACAATGACGGTATTATAAACCGTATTTTGTTCATCAACGAAGGGAAAACACTATCGTTGATGGATTACTAATTATTCATAATGAGGATTTTTACGACGGTATCCAACCGTCATTAATTGGTCTTCAACGACAGGGTTATCACCCGTTATTACACAATAACAACGGGCATACAAACCGTTTTATAAACCGTATTTTGTTCATCAACGAAGGAAAAGCACCGTCGTTGATGGGTTACTAATTACCCATTATGAAGACTTTTACGACGGTATCCAACCGTCATTAATTAGTCTTCAACGATGGGAAAATATCCCCGTAACTAATGGTAACGACGGGAAAATATCCCCGTAACTAATGGTAACGACGGGAAAGTATCCCGTCACTGATGGTAACGACGGGAAAATATCCCCGTTACTGATGGTAACGACGGGGATAATTACCGTCGTAAATATTAATGACGGTAATATGTTCCGTCGTTATAGACTCTATAACGACGGGTAGTATATCCCTTCGTGACCCTTTAGCGAAGAGGGCTTCAACGACGGGTGACGAAGGGATTTTTCCCCGTCGTTAGCATACAATAACGAAGGTTTTCAGTGCTTTAACGAAGGGAAATCGCTTCGTTAAAGATGTAATTTCTTGTAGTGGTAGACCAACATCCATAGCCTTTCTTCTATATATAAGTATCAAGCTCCAACTCAGAGGAATTTAAGTCTCTTCCTGAACACAACTAGTTTGAACATTCTTCTCAAGTCAGCAAACTCAAGACCGAAAACTCAAAGATATTATGGAAAGGTATACCAAATAATCATGACAACTGAACCAATTTCAAATAATCATAATCAGTTTGAACATTCGTTTACAATAGGATATTTGGATACATCAGTCATTCACTAATATGTTGCTCAGTCATTTGACTATAACACAGAGCAACAATATCAGTACAACGATACTTATAAATTTTAAATATAAAATTACATCATTCATCATTTTTGAACTAAACCCTCATCTTCTTCTCCACTGAACTCTTCCGAAAAGTTCTTCATCTTTTATCTGCAAAAAAAATACCACAAACAAATGTATATCATTGTAAAAGGATTTTGTACATATCACTGTAAAAGGATTGTGTACGTAACCGATATCATCTACTCACAACGTAATCCAAATTATGTACATAATCTCCTCCAAAATTCAAAGTTATACAAATGTATATTGTAGGCGTCAAAAAAATGCCAATAAATATCCAAACATAGAAGAAATTACTCAAAATGACAGATATGAACTGTCTCGCCAGCGGACAGTGTTTACTGTCTCGCCAGCAAGACAGAGTTTCCTGTCTCGCAGCGAGACATCTTTACTGTCTCGCAGCGAGACAGTCTTCACTGTCTCACCAGCGAGACAGTCTTTCTTGTCTCGCCAGCGAGACAGTGTTTGCTGTCTCGCAGCGAGACTGTTTGCTGTCTCGCAGCGAGACAGTATTTACTGTCTTGCCAGCGAGACAGTGTTGAAATGTCAAAACCGCCTTTGTAACTACTGCCCTACACGTGGCCCCTAACTGTTCAAGAACGTGGAAACGTCGTGGGCGAGAATCACGTGGATAACTGCAAAATAACGGAGTTTGAAATGTGGGAAGGCAGTTAAAATGAAAACTGCCTGACGGTTACTGTTTCCAGGACAGCGTTTACTATCTGCGGGCCGAGACATGCAAACACTGTCTCGCCCCGAGACAGCAAACCCTGTCTCGACAGCCGAGACAGCAAATGCTGTCTCGCGAGCCTGTTTTTCACCAACTGTTCTTGGAGGTTATAAATATCCCCCGAAGGCCATTTTTATGGGAGAGGCTGATCAGAGAGCATCCACAGGCTGATTTCAGAGCAGAGAGGGCAGAGTATCGAGCTTCTGTAACTCCTTGATATTCAGGCTTTGACTTGATTTCCAAGAAGAACGATATCTTACCTTGATAAGATATCGTTTCAAGTTCTCACTTCGATAAACGAAGTAAGAATCATAAACCCCTCACGATTCGATAGAATCTGTGATTTGTGGTCACGGGCTAACGCACCCGCGCACGGCAAAGATCCACGCAGTAGTGATCCAAACAACGATCCTGCGTTTGTTTCCTAAGAGTTGTAATTTTTATTTTGTTGTGTAAAAGAAGTCTTATAAAAAGGCTATCTCTTTTTGAATTTATTGTAATCGACTGAAGATATAATGAATTCCTTAACAAAACCAACTTTTGATGCAAACAAGCTGGCGACCACAGTGGGAGCCAACGGTCTCGCTGCCGAGACCGTCGTATCGCAGCCAATCATCAAGATCCTGGTTGAATCAACGGTCGAGTACGAGTTTGACCAAGTGAAGTTTGAGGAGTATTTGTCATCCTCATCTGTAAAGTCTTCCGCGCCTCGCAAGTGCAGGAAGATTTCATCTTCGTTGAAGTTATCAAATGCTATGGATGAAGACTCTCATCCGATTGTTGCTGAGGATTTTACTCGCAACAGCTCTGCTCAAGATGATTCCTCCCCAATTAAGGAGTCGTTCGATCGAAGTTCACCACTGACGAAGAGGGCTCGTCAGAGGCGACGCCAACGCCGCGCTCGTCGATTAGCTAAGGCATTGGAATAAACCGACGGGGTTCGTTATTACGCGGACCTAGAGTCGAGGAGGCATCGAGTGGTTCAGTTGTCTCAACGATCAATCACTCATATCTCTGCTAAATTAACGACGAAGGAATAGACTATTGTCAAAAGGGCTCGTTCAACCCTCAAAGAACGTATACAAAATACAACAAAGACGAGAAAGGAGGAAGGAAACGGTGACCAAAGAACCACCGAAACTCCGCCAAGTTTGGATTCCAAAGTCTGGACTTATGCAAAATCAGCATTCGGAGCCCGTTAAGACCCCATATCCGCAAATGGGTGGTTTTAAACGTGCGACTCCCAACATAACCTTGGATCGCTCAAAGACAAAAATAAATTATCCTGAGAATGCCAACAAGGTTTTACACCCCCAGAAGAAGACGCATTCACCAAATGATATCGTCATACCTGGGAGGTCATGCCAACAGACGATACAATTTTTTGGCAATCATACCGATGAATCGTATTATCAAGTTGGGGTTGTGAATAATTTTCGAAAGAGAGTTATTCGAGAAATAAACTCTCGGTGTTCCTGTGCGCGACTCGTTAAAGCAGCATTATCAGAATGTGACTGTTTCAAACGAGAAGCCATCCCACGAAAAGTCTCTGTATTGTCGAAGCCTAAGCCGAGACATTTCCGCAAAAGAAAATCAGCTGCCCAAGATGATGAATTCCCTGAAGTCACCATCAACGTGGCTGATAAAAGAAAGTCTAAGCGGCATTCAAGTGACTCAAATCCCGACTTTTCCCCGAGAGGAAAAGTCAATCCAAGAATTGCTCAAAGGATGTCTCGACTCCAATTAGGAGCCATCAGACGCAGAGATTACAAAAGAATGCAAGAAGGAATGTCCTCGGAGGATGAATTCTCGGACACTTATTCTGCAATCGCTTCTGATGATACAATGTCTAGCACGGGACAAACCAGAGAAGTACTCACGATCACCTCTGATCAATTTGCTCAAATGCTTCAAGAAGCTCTAGCGAAGCAACGTGAAGAAATCAGAGCTGAGATGAAGACAGAGATGAAGTTAGCTATTCAACAAATGAGAGAGTTGCTAACTCAACAACCTCAACCTCCTGAGTCCAGTCAGCAAGCTGAATCCATCCGCCACACTCAGAATGTTATAGATGACATTGATCCAGAAGTGGATGAAGTCATTATGTTGTTGGGATGACATGGAAAGTTTGTTCCTCAGCAATTTCTTCGATGATGACACCGAAGTGTCAATCGGAACCCTTTTGGATGAGAAGCAAAAAGACGGAGAGTCAGTTGACAATTTTGTCAAACGTTTCCGTAACAAAGCAATGAATTGCAGAGATCCTATCACGAAGGAGTTCATCCTGCAAACATGCCACAATAACCTCTCCATCGATGTCCTGGAAGCTCTGGGGGTCGTGCCATCCACAACTTGGAAGGAGTTAAAATCTCGGGGTGAACAAGCTGAGCACTTTCTTAAAAGAAAGAAAGCTGAGAGAGGCCAACCAATGACATCTGCAATCGTTGAGAATGCGACTCTCGATCCGAGGTTTCAAAAGGAATATTCTTTCGAAGATGATGAAGCTCCAGCCATATTGGAATACCTCCTCGCTAATGACAAAATCGAGCTACCACCTATTAAAGATCAGGATGGAGCTAAGAGGATTACGGATCCAAACTATTGTGCGTACCACAGAGGGGTTCTTCATCCCACCGAGATTTGCTTTGGACTCAAAAACAAGATCCAAGCCCTAATTGACTCCGGCGTCATAACGACGAAAGAGGTCGAGTAAAGACGACCAAATCAACTCCATTGGGTACACGAGTATAAACTGTTTTCCCTGACTCCGATGAGTATACGAGTATAAACTGCTTCTCCATCTCACTCCGAAAAGTATACGAGTATAAACTGCTCCTTAATACTCCAACAGGTATATGAGTCTAAACTATTTCCTTTCTTTCACTGGAAGTTCCTGGAGAATGCCATGCATGGTACTTTTAAGGATAACCCGATCATATAGCTAAACATAATGATAAACTCAGTTTCGCAAGAAAAAGCTGGGGGTGGATGGTTCATGTAACGGAAGTTCCCGAAAGAATGCTATATGTAATTTTCTTAGGAATAACCCGATCATTACAAACAAAGTGTTAAACACTACATCCCCACGGTGATTTCTGAATATTCTTTTGCTGAGATGAGATTCGA